CAAATTATTTATTTTGACTAAATTAGTTTAAGGCTATACACAAAATTACTTATGTTTCTAGGTAGTAAACTAAGTTTTACTGACAAAAGAGTGCATGAATTTTTTTCAAATTATTTACTTAAGTAAGTTTATTAAGTTTAAGGCTATACACAAAATTGCAACAACTCAAAGTAAACAGAATAAATAATTTATTAAAACACTGTGATTAACTTTTTAATCCAATGCTGCACTGGTAAATAGTTCCCCCTCATTAGTATTTTGTCTAAAATGTACAATAACAACATAATCTGACCTGGACTAGAAAATAGCTCTGTCCTTTAACACTCAATGATTTAACTGAGATAAATATAGATTCTGGTTTTCTTGATGAGTCAAAGATAAGAGAATAACTTCAAAGGCAATTAAAATTCCATTTGCCTGAAAGATTTTATTTACCCTGGTCCAAAATCAAAATTATCATTATATCAAATAAAGATGTCATGAATTGTCCCTTCTTCCCATAAAAATATTAGTAACAAATTGAGGATAAGAGTTAGGTTTTAAACTGCACTTTATTTGTCACTATAACATTCTCTCTCTTTTTAACTGATCAACCAGAAGCATGCAAAAAGCTCTCCTGTGAATGGAACTGTTTCCACAGTTCCTTGTATATAGATAGGTAAATTATAAATTTCATTCCACCTGGAATTCTCTCCTTTTTAGCACTTTTAAAAGCAGCGTGTGTGACACATACCAGAGGTAGGAAAGACCATCTTTAATAAATTATTTTCTTAATTGTAGAGAATCTTGAAAATTAAAACTGTCGAAATGCTAAACCATGCCTTTGATGAGTCCCAAAGAACCACAGATCCAGCGACTCCTATCTGAAGAATTAGTTCCCTGGAGTGTTCTAGCCTTCACTGGGCACCTGACAGCAAATCTACCAGGGCTGCGAACCAAGAAAGCCTTCTACTGCTCTCACTTGCCGATTCTTTGGACCACCCAGTCCTGCTGGCAGAGAGGGCAGCGATTGTTCTGTTTCACCCACAGGGACATGCAGCAATTGTGGAAGGAATGATTACACTCTCCCCAAACCACTGAAAGAAAAGAAAAAGAGCAGACAACATGACACATTTCAATCTAAATTACTAAGCTAAAAATTATAGCTTATTTTATATTATGAATCAAAGTCATGGTTCATAATCCTGAATAAAGATGACTGGTCAAAATATTTTTTCTATCTATAAAAATATACAAATTTACATGTGTAAATGACATTTAAGAAATAAGTCACTGTGTCTGGGGGAATGTTCCATCCCTGTTTTGATAATCTAGTGAATGAGGTGATGACCACCAGTTCCTAAAGAGCTCCACATGATCTCTTCTTGAAGAAAGTCAGGAGATTAGGACTTGAATCTTCTGTAGATCTCAGACCTTCTCGGCCATGCACTGACCTTAGAGATCTTTTGGGCTTTATTGAAAAATGTCCTCCTGGTTTTTATTTACCAAGACAGAATGCGTTTTAAGAGTTTTCAGGGACTGGGGATGTGGCTCAAGCGGTAGCGTGCTCGCCTGGCATGTGTGCGGCCCGGATTCAATCCTCAGCACCACATACAAAGATGTTGTGTCTGCTGAAAACTAAAAACTAAATATTAAAAAATTCTCTCTCTCTCTAAAAAAAAAAAAAGAATTTTCAGTTCATAGGTGGCCATCATAAGGCAGAGACACTCCTCCAAGCACTAACAGTTATCCATCTACTGAGTTGTTTCCTAGAAGTGATGAACTGTTAAGTCATCCAGAAGCTGTGCAATCCCTCATGTGACAATGAATCAAAGTAGCTGGCTGGAGAGGAGTCTCTCTGTGATAAAAGAGGCCAGCCTTAACAAGTTCTAATTAATATTAATTAATTTTTTAAAACAAACTGCATAAAAGAAAAAATTTAAACAAAGACAGCACCCACAATAATGCAATATCAAACGTGGGCTTCATTTGTCCCTTGCTTGACCCACTGAGTTATATAACAACAGCACAAGGTAATATGGAAGAAACAGAGAAAAAGAAAAAACAACAACAAAAAAAACTTTTTATGAAAACCGGCTGAGAGGGTGGGAAGCAGGGAGGAAAAACATTCTAAGCTTTTCTTTTTTTTTTTAATTAAAAAAAAATTGGGGGCGGGGCGGCGTTAATTGTGTATGGACAGCATGCCTTTATTTTATTTGTTTATTTTTATGCGGTGCTAAACATAGAACCCAATGCCTCACACATGCTAGACAAGCGCTCTGACATTGAGCTACAGCCCTTGCCCCAGCCCCATTCTAAGCTTTTTAGAAGGAAAAAACAAAACTTGATCAAAACTGCATCAACCATTACTATTAAGACTCAGAAGGTAAGCCATGCCAACAAGCACAAAGCTTATTCTAGGAAACTCTATAAACATTTTAAAAAATCACCCTAAGAACCAGGACATAAAAACTTTTGAATTGCTTAAAATTGTTAGACTAAGACAATTTTTGTAGTCTAAGACTATAAAGATAATTTAATAGATTTCAACATACAAACTACATTCTAAAAACAAAACACAACACACACAAACAAACCTGACTTGACAGCAAGATCTACCAGGCTGTGAACAACTGCACCATGGAAACCTACCACTAGCATCTGAGGTTTCTAACTCCTACCTTAGTTAAAAAGTTAATTAGTGCACCTTAAAAGAATTGAAAACAGAAATGCCTTATTAGAACCAAAACTGACTTAGAGTCAAAATTCAAATGATATTTGAGAAATTCCTTATTTTATAGTTCTATTAAAAGGAGATCATTATTTCTTTTTGATTACCAAGATGTTTACCATGACTATATTTGAAATTATATAACCAATTCTTAATTAGAGCAATAAAGGAGTAACTTACAGATTAATTCCCTTAAGGCCTTTTAAGAACCAACACATTTTATATTAATAATGGCTCACTGCTTTACAGTTTATTTTTGTACATTAATAAAGTCAATCTTAATAGCAAATTCAAACACCCCGACTGAGAAAAAACCCTTAGTTTAAAAAGCAAGAGAAAGAAATTACAACATACCAACACAATCTTCTTGTTTGTTTTCAGCTTGACATCTAAGACAGGCATCTAAAAGTAAACAAATAGCAATTTTTCACTCTGATGCTCAGAATGTAATTTTTAAAACCCAGATACTTCAAAATGAAATAAAAGCCCTAAAGGTTGCAGATGAGGATAAGATTCATACTTAGCTTCTCATCTGATTATAAGTATTTAAAGAGGAATAAAGCACAAGGTGTCCTACTAATTTACTTATGACCAGGAGCAATTTCACAAGGGTTAAGGATTATTTTTACAAGCTCTGATGAAAAGAAGTCTTGACAGCACCACTAGAGGAAAATGTACCACACACCTCTATAGTACAAATTACTGTGCACTCACATGCAGTGGGAGGGTAGTTTATTTTTTAAGACAGCATTTTTAACAAGCCATGCCTATATATTGGTATTTCCTTATATATACACACACATATATATGGAAATACATATATACATACATATATGTATGTGTGTGTATATATATGTATTTCCATATGTGTATACACATACACACACACACACACACACACACACACACATATATAAATCTAAATGGATACCCAAGACACCAATTATAAAGTTTATAGGAGTGGATAGAATGGGAAGGAGTTTTCAGCATAACTTCTTAAATTTTTAACTACATGACTACATAACCTACAAAAAATTAAAACTTCTTTCATAAACAGATTTTCTTAAGTCTTCCATACTTACTGACACTTAAAAAATAACTTTTTTCTTTCTTCCCTATGACACTTGTAAGTTTCTTTAAAATAAATGATTTTCTATGTTTCCAATAGGTCAGAACCGTGGTGAACAAGACTGATGAAGAGGGGTGAGGCAGAGGAGGGAAAGCAAGGGTTTGGCAACTGGGCAGATCTAGCATCAAGTCCCGCCTCAGCGGCATTTACTAGTTCTGTCGCCCTGGACCAATTATGAACTTCAGATGAGCCTCAATTCTCTCTCCCGTAAAAAGCAATCATTCCATGACTATTTATAGGTAAGAGAGGAGATACCCACCTGTGAGAGCTTTACAGCCCAAATAAGTAGATAGGAGGTAACGTTAAACACTCTGTTCGAAGAAAATGCTCCCTTTACAGATATTTCCTTACAGGTAGCAAAGTATCTTAATAAATTATTTCGGAGTAAATACTAGAAATGGGAACCTAAAGGATGTACTGAAGTTTTCAAAACCTATCTGTAGTACTATCTGCTTGATGAAAAAGGTACTACATTAGCTGGAAGAGGAAGGAGTCCAAGATGGGTAAAAGGAAGTTCAAATCAACAACATCATCAACAACAACAAACAAGTTTACAGAATAAATATAGAAAAATAATTCTGTAAAAATAGAAACAGTGGAGCTGGAGCCTGCTTTTCTTCTTCTGCTAGTTTATGCTCAGACATCCGTCTGCTCCTCTCCACATGCTCTTACCCTTAAAAAAACACCAGCGCCCTGGCCTCTCCAGTGTGGATGAAAAACAACCACTGCCTCCTGGGGAGCCCTTCAATTCTGTAATTACTAGCATCTCCTCTGAGCAAGGACTTTTGCACTGGGGACACAAAAAAGAACATGGCTGTGTCTTAAAGAGCTCACTAACAAATAAAAAGCGCCCAGGAGCACAGGGATCCTGATGTGTCAGGAAAGCCATGCTACCCTGCAATCCTACCAGGTTTGAGTTCTGTGTAACCACTGAATTTTAAGAATATTAGAATTGGTGATCCCAGTGCCTGTTTCACAAATCCGGAAAATAAGACTCCAAAAGGCTCTGTGACATGACCACGTGAACATACATCACGTGTTACTCTGACTTTCACAACTGGGCTGTGCTGGCAAACCTATTCCCCTATCCCATCAGTCCTTACTCCCTGTGCCATCAGCTCCTTCCAGAATCAGGGAGGGGCTACAACCCAAGGACAAGAGAGTTACCCACCCTAGAAAGGTGTGACAAAGATAATAATTTATCTCACATGCCTAAATGGTTAAGATATAGGACACCATTTAGGCATGTGAGATAAATTCCAACTATTAAGGATATAGGAATATGGGGGTTCTTGTTGCACAATCTAGAAACATGCTTATAGATTTAAGAATTACTCTAAAAAGTTGACCAAATCTACATGAATTCTTAAAGTTTCAAGTAAAATAAAAATTATTTTAATAATGATCCTGATACTTAAAATAGCACATTTCTAAGGAGTATAACAGTTAACACCTTTTAAAATGATGCTAGACTAAGGACTAGGAAGTCAGAAAAAAAAATTTCCTTCTGCTGTCACCTGACCATCAAGTGGCCACAAACATCTCATAAACAAAATATAAAGGTCTAGTCCAGGATACTTTCCTGAACCCAAAGTACAGTTGTTGTAAATATTCAATAAATCTTGGAGAAGCAGAACATTTGCTATAATTAGAAAGTTAATTATGAACCTGAGTCACACATAGCCCACACTCTGACCTACTTGTGAGTATCCCAGTAAAGTTTATTTGTTGCAAAATCTCAATCATATCTTAGGTTCTGGATTTCTACTTACTAACCCTCCCCCAACTTTTGGGGAGAAAATAGCTCCCTAAGAGAGAGATCCTTTTGAAATGCCTCTTTAGGGATGTTCTTTTAAAACTAGAAAGATATTAAAAGGAAGTTTGGGACCTGGGGATGTAGCTCAGTGGTGGTGGTGTGCTTGCCTAGCAAGTTTAGCTTTTTCCAGAATACAGGAAATTTAGGGTATAAAATTTTTAGTAAAACTTGTCCTGCAAAAGAACAAATGGTCAAGTCTTCTGGATAAGTTAAAAATACCTCCCAAACTGGAAATTATTATTCTAGCTTTGTGGATGGCTGTACTGCATGCAAATAAAATAGTTTAATATGCAAAATAAGTGGATCACATCCACTATCAAGGTCTTCCAAAAGTAAAAAAAAAAAACAAACAAACTTGAATCCCAAGTTGTAAATCTTGGAAACAGGTCCTTAGGAATGAAAGGCAGAAGAGAACGTAAGCTGGGAGCTCTCTCAATTGTAGTAGGTTCAAAGTCTCATTCCCCAACAAGGATGCACAATTCACTTTACTTTCTCCAATTCGCTTATTTTTCTGAGCAAGCCACTACGTTTTCAAACTAAAGAACCGTAAATTTTCTCCATACACCTTCAAAAAACATTATCATTCACCACTGAAGATAGTCTCATAGTAATTTTAAATCCATTTAAATAACAGCTGTCTTGAGATTCAAAACAGAAACCTATAAAGCTCAAAGAGATTGTTCTGAAATGTTCATTTGGTGCAATATTTTTTACTCAAAATATAAAAAGAAGACATATTTGTATAAGACAGGTCTCCATATGGGCATGGTAGAGCAGGACAATATCTTCCCTAGGAAATGACATCCTACTATGGAAAGGAGGCTAGATGGAGATGAAGTTTTGTTTCTGAATAAAAGGTTTTTGGTTTTGGTACTGGGGATTGGACCCTGGGGCAATTTACCACTGAGATACATCCTCCTCCTTTGTATTTATTTTGAGACAGGGTCTCACTAAATTGCCTAGGGAGGTCTCTAACTTGGGATCCTCCAGCCTCAGACTTCCGACTTGTGGGATTACAGGCCTGCACCGCCGCAGCCGGCAATAAAGGGTTCATGTTTTTCAATTCCCATGCAATTCAAATATTCTTTACCCACACTTCATATAAGCGAGGTCTATCTGCCTGGGTCTTGAATCAATCCTGATTTAAAAACTAGCGCAGCAGCAGCAGCAAGGAATCAGAAAATGCACCGTCCGTGTGTTTACTTTCTTTCCTGAACTGAAGGTGTCTGTGTGGACGTGACTCCCGAGCATCGCTTCGCGCGTGATGAGACCCTCAGTGCACAGCCGGACGCGGCCTCCGCCCTGACCCGCTGCACTCTGCTTTCAGAACAGGGGCTGGCCCGCACGTCAAGAAGTCCTCCCAGTTTAATTTTCTGGGTCACACCCACCGCCACCTGCAATTACCTGGTTCGGTTCCTCCGCGCAGAACACCAGCCCCCGCGCTGGCGCGGAAGACCACCCCGCTGGCCCCCGATCGCGGCGCAGGGCGCCAGCGGCCTGGGCGTGGCCCACGTCCCCGCGCCGGCAGGGCGACCCCGCAGCTCCCCGCCCGCGCCGCGCTCAGCCAGCGGAGGCCGTCCCGCCGCCCCGGCTTCTCGTGCAGCACTTACCCATCACCTGGACCCTGCAGATGGCGCACGTATCGCACTCCACGTCCCAGCTCCACATGGCCACCGCGTTCCACTTCTTGAGCGAGAACATTTTGTCGCTCCCCGACTTGGAGCCTGCGCTCCCGGAGTGGGATGACAAGGCGCAGGGCTCTTCGCTGTCTTCCACATCGGCCATGGCGGAGGCGCGGAGCCGGCGGCGAGGACGTTGGGTTAAAGGAAGCGGGCGGCTATGGCGGCTCTGTGGGGCCGCCCGACGGGCCATAGCGCCGCCCGGAGGCCGCGGGCTACGGCGGAGCCCACACTGGCGCGGCCCGCGATTGGCTGGCGCGGCCTGGTGACGTCACCCTGCGCCAGCGCCGGGGCGGGGACTGTGGCCCCGCCTCCCTGTTCTCGGCTTCCCAGGGTCTAGAGGCCTCGGGACGACCCCTGCTGAAACCCGGCGCCTTACGCTTTAGAGCGTGACCTCAGAGCAGGCTGCAGATAGTGCGGGGCCCCTTGTCCTGCTCCGTGCGGCTGTTAAACTTGCAGCTCTTACAAACTACCTTGCTAATTTGTCTCTTCGTTGCCAAATGTAAACTCTTATCAGAGCAGGGACTGCGGGTATCATCAACACCTTAGACTCTATGTCTGAAAGTGCCACCGTTGTTTGTTGAATGAATGAATGACCTGAAAGATCTAGAAAATGTTTTTGTTTAGTGGTTCTCAGACTTTTTGGTCTCAGAACTCCTTTACACTTAAAATTTATTAGAACCTTAAAGAGCTTTTGTTTATGTAAGATACGTGGATATAGATGGATATTTGCTTTTTTAATATTTTTTAGTTGTAGATGGATAGCATGCCTTTATTTCACTTATTTATTTTTATGTGGTGCCGAGGATCGAACCCAGTGCCTGACGTGTGCGAGGCCAGCGTGCTACCACTTGAGCCACATCCCCAGCCCTAGATATTTGTTTGTAACAAAATGAAACAAAGTTTAAAATGTGTTAATTCAGCCCGGTGCTGTCACTCATGCTTGTAATTTCAGGGAGGCTGAGGCAGGACCCTCACAAATTTGAGGCCAGCCTCAGCAATTTAGTGAGACCTTGTGTCAAAAATTAAAAAATACAAAGCGATAGGCATGTACTCAGTGGTAAAGTGTCCTTGTTCCAACCCCAGTACTGCAAAAAACAGAAGGAAAATAAAATGTATTAATTCGTTTAAAAATAACAGACCCGTTGCAAGTTATTATTAGAGCAGTGTCATATCGTTTCTGGAAAATTCCACTGTATACTCAAGAGAGTGAGGATGGAAAATGGGAAATAGCTATGAATGTTGTTATGGGAAGAGTTTGTCTTGATTCATCCCCTAAAAGTATCCTGGAAACCCTGGAGACCACATTTGGAGCTAGTTTAACCTCTTTTTCTATGTAGGAGTAATGAAGTACAGAGAAATGAAGAAATTTAACAAAGATCACACAGGTATTATGTGAAGGTGATTGTTTTAAAACCAAGGTTCTACTGGTAGCCCAAGGGTCCTCATCTTACCTTTTCCTGAGCAAAGCAGACAATGTCTCCATTTAAAAGATAAGAAAACTGAGTCATGAAGAGTCTTGTGGCCTCATCAAGGGTGTCAGGTTTGGGATTCAGAACCTCCCACCTCTCACTGGGCTTGATCCTAAACCTTGTGCTTGGGGAGGGTGGGACTGACCAGACTCAAGGGACCTATTACTGGAGGCAAGAATGCACAAATGTATAGGAGCATAAATGTGGGCACAGTGACATTGTCCTGGTTGTCAATGAGTGGCACGTGGGTGTTACCACTGTTTACCGATGAGGAGTCCTTACTTCCCCAATGCTGAAGTATAACACCAGAGAAGCACGCCGAGGCAAGTTTAGAGTGGAAAGTAGACGCGTTATTAAAGGACGGCAGAAAAGACTTATCCCTGGAGAAAGAAGGGGACCCAAGAGGTGGAATCTGTGGAAGGTGGAATGTGTTCCCCTTCTAATAGCTAAGGTCTACATTCAGCTTTCCCGCATTCCTGTCGCATTCCAGTCCTTTGTTCTGTTATCTTTCGTTGATGGAATGAAGGTGGGAAGGCCCAAAGGGTGGGGCATAGGTGGGCCAAAGGAGTAATCCGGGCAGGAAAGACTTTTGGATTAGCATCTCTAAGTTTGCTGGGAGCTGTTTCATTAACATTTCTTTGGGATGAGCCTTGGGGACATTAACATTCCAAGAGTTGTTCTGCTTTTCCAGGACTCCATTCTCAACATGGCCTTCATTTTCGATTTTACTCAATATTAGACCGATTTACCTAACTGTGGGAGACCAACCTCACACGTGACTAGGTAACTCCCCGGCTGGGTGTTGAGGCGCTCAATCACAGAAATGTGGCAGCGCTTTCCCCACCCTTCTTGGTTTCGAGGATCTTTGTCTCGTGCATGGGTGTGTCTTGCTACAGCCCCATGGGTGAAGCTACACTCACCTGTTCCTTTGTAATCTAACCCCTTGCCCTGTTTAGGATAGAATCTTCCATGGAAGTGCCTTGTGTGTGTCCCCTTCTCTTACTCTGCCCTTGGGTGTGGCCTACCCAGGTGTCAGTCAACCTGCTGACAGTGGACATCATGAAGATAGACTCAGCCCCCTGAAACCTGACCCCTTGCCTCATTTGAATAGCTTCCCTCAATAAAAGGGCTCAGCGCATGCTCTCATTCTGTCTCTTTCTGCGGACCCTTACGGTCAGAGGAGCCGTCACGGCGACCCCAAAGGAAAAGGTATTTGTGTCTCTTGTGTGGTTATTTTGTGCAGCCCAGTTCAACTGGAGTAACCCCTGAGCCTTTTAGTCACGAGAACAGAACCCTGGCACCTAACTAATTACACTATCTACCTATCTTTAAATCTGGCTTCCTGGGCCCTGGGAGGGTGAAGACAAATGTGAAGATAGATGTAGAGGGTAAGCCTCAAGGAAGAGGGGAAACTGGAATGGGGGTGCGGAGAAGGGAGGCCCCAAAGGCCAGAAAGAGACCCAAGGGAGCCTGCCAGCCTGGCCCAGCTGCTGGCCTGAGCAGAGCGACAGGCAGGGCACAGACAACCCTAACCCTAAGAACCAGGTGAAAATGCCCATGAACCAACCGAGACTAGCCCTGCAAAACACAGGTTCTGTTGGTGTGAACCAACCACACCATTGATCGTGGATGGCTGTAAATGTCAGAGAGCTAATGAGGAGGGGAGTCTGGGGCTGGGGCTCAGAGGCAGAGCGCTCGCCTGGCACGCGTGGGGCACTGGGTTCGATCCTCAGCACCACATAAATATAAAATAAAGACGTTGTGTCCAAATAAAAAATAAATATTAAAAAAAAGTAGGAAGGCTGCAATTAGATGAGGATAAAACAGGCTCAGTTGGAGAGCACGAGGCGTTTGAGAGCGGAACAGGGCAGCTCAGAGGTGGTGGGCAGGCGGAGGGGTGGTTAGGCTTGCAGAATGGTGTGCCCCCTCTGAGGGTGAAACCTGGAGGAAGGGCCGTCCACACAGCAGTGAACAGAGGGCTGGAGGGAAGACAGGGCGGGACGCGGGAAGGAGGGGAGCAGAAATAGATCAGGGGTGAAGCTGGGTGCAGGAGCCACCTGCAGGGAGCGAGCTCACACCCACCCAAGGGAGGGCAGGAAAAGAGGTGGGAGGTCCCGACCCCCAGCCCCGCCCTCACCCCCAGGGGCTTTCTAGGATTCTAAGCACCCAAAGGGCAGGGATTATGGGGGACCTTGGAGAAGATTACAGCAAAATAAACTTCTGCCCGCCTCTGTCTTTGTAGCTCCTGATCCACCTTCCTCTTCCCAGTTCCTCGGGCCTTGTCTTCTTTCAGGACCTTGTCCTCTGCTTGGAGTCTCTATTCCTTATGCTCCGCACAGCGGGGACAGGGTAGCTTTGTTTTAGAGACTTTCCTTAAAGTACAATATTTAAATCCTTCAGGAAAAACCTTTTCCAGTATAAGCAAATATTTTTGTTTATTTCTTTGATCCTCGCTCCAGTAATCATTTCCCCATTCCTTCATGACACTCCACTTTTACTAAAATAATTTTTCCTGTTGTTGGGGAGGAAACATTTTTCTTTTCTTTTTTTTCTTCTTCTTTTTTTTTGGTACTGGAGATTGAACTCAGGGGTGCTTTACAACTGAGCCATATCCCCAGCCCTTTTTATTTCTTATTTTAAGACAGAGTCTTGGGGCTGGGATTGTGGCTCAGCGGTAGAGCCCTGGTCTAGCAGGGTGGGACCTGGGTTCAATCCTCAGCATCACATAAAAAAAATAAAGGCATTGTGTTGTGTCCATCTACACCTAAAAATTTTTTATTAAAAAAAAAAAAGAGTCTTGCAGAGGGTCTCCCTAAGTTGCTGAAGCTGGCCTCAAACTTGTGATACTGAAGCCAGATTTAAAGATAGGTAGTTAATGTAGTTAGGTAAATCAGGTCTACTACTGAGTGAAATCGAAAATGAAGGCCATGTTGAAAATGGAGTCCTGGAAAAGCAGAACAACTCTTAGAATGTTAATGTCCCCAAGGCCCAGAGCCTATCCCAAAGAAATGTTAATGAAACAGCTCCCACCAAACTTAGAGATGCTAATCCAAAAGTCCTTCCTGCCCAGATTACTCCTTTGGCCCACTTGTGCCCCACCCTTTGGACCTTCCCACCTCATTCCATCACTGAAAGATAACAGAACAAAGGACAGGAATGTGACAGGATTCCACCTCTTGGGTCCCCTTCTTCCTCTGGGGAGAAGTCTTTTCTGTCGTCCTTTAATAAACTTCTACTTTCCCCTCTAACCTTGCCTCAGCGTGCTTCTCTGGTGTTCTACTTCAGCATTGGGGAAACAAGGACTCGTCGCTGGTGAACAGTGGTAACAGTTTACCAAGAGGTGGAATCCGTGGAAGGGTGCTATCTTCCCCTTTTTTATAGCTAAGGTCTTCATTCAGCTTTCCTGCATTCCTGTCACATTCCAGTCCTTTGTTCTGTTATCTTTCAGTGATGGAATGAGGTGGGAAGGCCCAAAGGGTGGGGCACAGGTGGGCCAAAGGAGTAATCTGGGCAGGAAGGACTTTTGGATTAGCATCTCTAAGTTTGGTGGGAGCTGTCTCATTAACATTTCTTTGGGATGGGCTCTGGGCCTTGGGGACAGTAACATTCCAAGAGTTGTTCTGCTTTTCCTGGACTCCATCTCAACATGGCCTTCATTTTCAATTTTACTCGATATTAGACCTGATTTACTGAACTACACTAACT